GTGATTTCTTTATTGTTTCTATCTTCATTTTTAGATCCTGGATGGATTTGTTCAATTCCTCTATCTGTTTGGTTGTGTTTTCCTTTAATTCTTTAAGGGATTTTTGTGTTTCCACTTTAAGAGATTCTACCTGTTTACATGTGTTCTCCTGTATTCCTTTAAGGGAGTTACTTATGTCCTTCTTAAACTCCTCTATCAACATCATGAGAAGTGATTTTAAATCTGACTCTTGCTTTTCTGGTGTGATGGAGTATCCAGGGCTTGCTGTAGTGGGAGAACTGGTAGCCTTCGATAGTGCCAAGTAGCCTTGGTTTCTTGTGCTTGTCTCTCAGCATCTGGTTATCTCTAGTGCTACCTGCCCTTGCTGTCTCTGACTGGAGCCTATCCCTCCTGTGATCCTAGTTGTGTCAGAACTTCTCAGAGTCCAACTGTCTCTGTTGATCCTGTGATTCTGGGTTCCTGTGATCCTGAGATCCTGGGTTTGTCAGAGTTCCTGGAAGTCAATCTGCCTCTGGGATCCTGAAATCCTGGTATGACCAAGCTCGTGAGATTCTTTTGTGTCAGAGCTCTTGGGAATCAAGCTTTCTCTGGGTTTCGCAGAGATGGGTGGGGAGCCAGAGCCCTGGGTTTGCTCTGGGCACAGATGCAAGCAGAAAGGAACCTGTCCTTCTGGCTGGGTGGTGGTTTGTGTTTCCCTGGTTCCTGTGGAAGGTCACAATTACTCTGGGTGTTGGGACAGATGTTGTGGCCTCAACTGTGAATTGATCTTCCTCTGTGATCCTGTGATCCTGGGTGTTTCAGAGCACCTGAGATTTGAGGTCCCTCTGGGTGTTGCGGAACTGGGTGTGGAGCCAGATCCCAAGTGGTTCCTGCGTCCCTGGATCTTAGGGGGACCTAGTTACTCTGGGAGTTGGGGCAGATTTTGTGGCCTCTCTTGTGATCCTGTGCATTTCAGAGCACCTGGGAGTCAGGCTTCCTCTGGGTGTTGTCCAATATCTCATTTTTATTTGGGCTATTTGGGTCGTTGATGCCTAACTTCTTGAGTTGTTTGTAAATTTTGGATACATCTGTCAGATGTAGGGTTGGTGAAGACCCTTTCCCAATCTGTAGGCTACTGTTTTGTCCTATTGATAGTGTCCTTTGCCTTACAGAAACTTTTCAGTTTCATGAGGTACCATTAATCAGTGTCGATCTTAGGGACTGAGCCATTGGTGTTCCGTTCAGGATATTATATCCTGTACTGATGAATTCACAGCTATTCCTCAATTTCTTTATTATTATATTTAGTGTATCAGGTTTCATATTAAGGTCTTTGATCCACTTGGACTTGAGTTTTGTGCAGGGTAACAGATATGGATTTATTTGCATTCTTTTACATGCAGATACCCAGTTTGACCAGCACCACTTGTTGAAGATGCTTTCTTTGTTATATTGTATGGTTTTGCCTTCTTTGTGAAAAAAGTGTGTTTATTGGTGTGTGGGTTTATTTCTGGGTCTTTGATTTGATGCCATTGATCTACCTGTCTGTTCCTATACCAGTACCATGTAGGTTTTTTTTTTATTGCTATTGCTTTTTAGTATAGGATGAGGTCAGGGATGTTGATACCTCTGGAAGTTCTCTAATTGTTTGGGATTTATTTTAGTTATTCTGAGTTTTTTATTCATTCATGTGTAGTTGAGTAATGTGAGTGTTTGATGTATGAATATTTTCAGCATCAATATTATTGCTTGATAGTCTAATGTATATTTTCCTTGATAGGTACATATTTCCCTAGATTTGGGCAAATGTTTGTGATGGTTTTATTGAAATCATTTTTACATCACTACTATAAAAATTTTCACCCTTTTGAATATGATTTGAAGATATGGTTTTTTTTATTGTGAACACAACACTTTCCACAATTTGCTTATACTTTCTTATTAATTTTTCTTAGTCATTTTAAGGACACCCTGATTCTTCTACCTGTCTTCAAGCTATGAAATATTTCTGTCCTGTACTTGATCTATTCTATTGGTGTAGTTTTCCATCAGTCATTTTATTTGACTTGTTAATTTTTTGCTTCTAGTATTCTTTTAAATTTTTCTTTCTTTCATATCATTTCTTTTTCTACATTTATTTAGTTCTTTATATTTGCCCTTCTGTATTGAATTCCACTTTCATATTCTGTATTCACTTCCTTACTTCATCCACCTGCTTGTTTCACTCTTTGAATTAACTCAAAAGTTTTGTTCATGTCCTCTTTATCTTTTTGCTTAAAATACTCTTTTGAAATTTTTAATATGTCAACTTTATCATGTGCACTCAAGTCCATTTTGTGGAAACAGTAATTTTCAAGGTAACAATGTTGTATTGGTTTTTCATGGCTTTCGTCATTTTTAAAAAATAGGATTTATGAAGCTATATAATAATATTCACTTAAAAATAAACCTCCCTTCAACTTTAATTATTTTAGGAGTTAATGAAGGATTGAAGTATTGTGTGTTCTACTGAAGAAATGAATAGAATGGGAAAAGAAAAACAGAGTAAGACTGTTGGTTGTACGCTGGAGAGATGGCTCAGTGGTTAAAAATCTTACTTGAAAGTGAAATGACCTCAATTTGGATTTCCCTAGACCCTACATAAGTCCAAACACAGAAGTAAAACTTACTTGACACCTGGGGTTGTTCCCTAATTCTATACAAATGACAAACCATTTGTGTGCCAACACTCGTGTTCTAACACATATATGTAAAATAAGTATGATAAAATATATCTTTTTAAAAAGACTGTGGAATGATAATACATTAGTAGAGAAAAATATATGATGCAAAAATAAATAAGAGACAGAGAGAGAGAGAGACAGAGACAAAGACAGAGACAGAGAGAGAGAGATTGAGTAGAGGAGGAACAAGCCATCTTTCTAAATTAATATTTATTAAGCCAGGCAAGGCTATACACACCTTTAATCCTAACACTTTCGAGGCAAATGGAGGCAGATCTCTGAGGTCCAGGCCAGCCTGGTCTACATAGTAACTTCCAGGACAGCAAGAATTATAGAGAGAGGCCTTGTTTCAAAAATATTTTAAATGAAATTAACAAATTATTGAATGCAAGTAAATAAAGTAGAGCTGGGTAGGGATTTAGAACCTAAATGTCATCTCTTGCCTGGGTCCTTGGTTTTTCCTGACAGTTCTTCCAGGGCTCTCAGATGGAGTCACATTTGTGTGCAGTGTTTTAAAGGTGGGTGTGCAGATGCTGCTCTCTGGGCACTGCTTCACAGGTATGGTTCAAATAATGGCCACACCTCTGCTCATTCCTTTATGACTTGATTTTGAATGCTGTACATGCCTCTGGGAATTGCCCACCCCTAGATTAGTTCATAAACACTGGTCCCATTAGTTGGGAGTCCTTCATGATTGGGTTGTGAATCTTATCACATCCCCAAAGGAAGTCTTTTCCAATTTTATTTGTTTTGAGATACTAAACTAAAGATGAAGGCTTTGAGAAATGAAGGCATTTTCCATGCAGAATGACTGGTAATGAGTGTTTGGCAAAAAGAACCTCTTAGCCTTCTACTCTTCTCTCGATTTGTGTCCAGGAATCCCTCCTTCATGACACACTGTTTTTAAAAATATTAGCCAAAATAAGGTAAAATCTTTTAATCTTAACTTTTTATTCAAACCCAAACATTTTTTGTTTCATGTTTTTACACTTATCTGTACAACTTCCATGATAAAAGCACTTGCATGTTCATTTATAGTAACCATAATATGTTTGCATATGAAAATATTCATAGTTAATATTATTTGTTAATTTGCTTAATGTCGTCCAGTTGGTTTTTATTGTGTGTCCATCTAAATGGATTCTAATATTTTAAAAAATGCTAAGGTTTATTTCAAATTGTATCTATCTATCTATCTATCTATCTATCTATGGTATATGTATTCATGACTACAGTACTTAACTGGGCCAAAGGAATTGAATTCTCCTGGACATAGAGTTGTAGGCAATTGTGATACACCTACATTGCAGCTGGGAACTGAACTCAGGTCCTCTGCCACAGCACTAAGCATTTTTATCCATTGAGCCATTCGTCCATCCTCAAATGTATAAACAGTTTGTTAATTTTTTAATCAACTTACCTTACTTTTGACAATTCCACACATATTTGTAGAGTTGCCACACACACACATACATACACGCCCCCCCCCACTCACATACTTCTGTGACGATTAGTTCTTTTTGTCCATTTGATACAAGCTAGAGTCATCTAGAGAGAGGAAAACTGAGTTAAAAAAAAGTCACCATAACATTTGTAGACAAGTCTGCAGTCTATTTTTTGATTATTGATTGATGGTGATAGCTCAGTCCACTGTAGGTGATATCATCCCTAGGTTATATAAGAAAGAAAGATGAACAGATAAATGGAAGCCTTAGCCAACAGTTAAGTTGTTCATCCCAAATCTTCATGATGAGAGTAGGACAGTTATATGCCCCTATAAGTATAAGTATACAGTTATACAGTTAACTGTATAAGTATACAGTTATAGGGGATTTGATGAGACCCTAGGGAAGGGAGCAAAAGAATGAAGGGACAAGAGGCACAAAGAATGAGAACAAGTCGAGAGCTTTGATCAAACTTTCAAACTTTAATTTCAGGTGGCAGGCTATAAAGACACAGCAAAATGGAAAGTTTAGGCAAGGGTCATTGCTTAAGGCTATCCCACTATCGTATCCTCATTGCCCAAGACCATCCTACTGTTGTAACTGGCTCCCAGGAAATATCAGACATTCTTTAAGTTTCTGGGACGTGAGACCCAAGAACATCCTTTCTTAACCTTGTACTTTAACTGACTAGGTTTTCCAGAACAACAGGTAATTTCATGAGGTTCTGTTAGAACAATAGGTAATTTCATGGGTTTGGACCCTGGCAGTTATAGACAATAAGAAATCTAGGAAGCAGTAAAAGCCTGTTCTCTTAAGCACTTTATTTATTCTATTCCTCTTTCATTGTTCTTAGAAAATATTGCGACCACCAACTCATCGCTAAACATATCAGATCCCCAAACAGGTAAGTAAGCAGAGTAGTCACAGAATTGGACAGATAGTCAAGTCTTTTACAGGGTGTGCAGGTCCCCTGTATGGTTCATTGATTCTGGACTACAGTGACATCTGTGTCTGAATCACCCAGGCTCATCTCTCAAAGGTCACACAGTGGAGAATCTCACCAGGATCACAATGGCTGTTTTGATTCTTGTGGCTCTTGGAATTCTTCTATTTGAAGCTCAGCACAGCCAGAGAAAGAAAGATACAGGACATCTCAGAGTGGTGAAAAAATAACTATCATGTATGGTAAATATTATAAGATGATATGGTCCTGGAGTTAAATGTGGGTAGAGGTTGGGTGAACTCTAAAGTTGGGAATCTTGAGGGGAGTGCCATGGTTTGAGAGCATGGAGATGTAAGAGTCATTTGTGAAGATAACTATTCACCCATTAAACTTGGATATTTTTCCACAAATAATCTTATATTTCCCTGATGGCTCCTTTTTTTCTTATCCTTTGCATCTCTAAAGTAGTAATTTTCTATTGGTTTCTTCATGTAATTTACTTAACCCAAATCAGGTTAAGAACTACATTTCTTTGTGTATGACACAGACTATTTTTAACCCAAATCCACATTTAGAGAAAAATATGAAATAAACTGACAAAATGAGTCTCCAACACGAAATAGTTAAATCCAAAAACACAGGTTAAGATTTTTTTTTCTTACCAACACACTTAGCAACACTGCAGAATTGTGATGAGAGATAAAAATTAACTCTGGGGTAGGAAGAAAAAAGGGCAACCCCAATCTTCAGCTTTTTGCAATGGGCATGGTTTCTTTTTTATTTTTCATTGGATATTTTATTTACATTTCAGATGTCATTCTCTTTCCCCCATTTCCACTCCCTAGAACCCCATCCCATCCCCCACCTCCTTTTTGATTTTTATACCATTTTAATTACATGCATGTATTAAGGTAAGTTCTAGGTTAAGGGCCTAGCAAAACAATAGATGCAAATAGTCAAGGAACAAGCAAGATAATAAACACAAATAGTCAAAGAACAAGCAAGGAATTAAACCCAATTACATGAACATTCTCATCATCACTGTTTCTAAGGGCTTATCAGGATGACCAAAATATCTGAGCCTACTTCCCTGTCCTAGCCCAAAGACATTTACATGTCTGAAGCCTACTTCATTGTTGTAGCCTAAAATTTAGATTCCTGTCTGAAATTACCTTTTTCTTCTAGCCTATTATTTAGATTCCTGTCTGAAATCACTTCTTTGTTCTAGCCTAATATTTAGATTCTTGCCTAAAATTACTTCTTTGTTGTAGACTAAGTTTTAGATTCCTACCTGAAATTGCTTCTTTATTCTAGTCTAATGTCAGATTCCTGCCTGAAGCCTACTTCCTTGTCCTTGGCCAATGTCAGATTTTTTCCAAGCAGCCCCAGAGGCTCTCCACTTCTCCCCTTTTTTATTTCATTAATAAGACTAAACCTCTTTTAGGTGGTTCTGACAAGAATTCCTTCTTTACCTGTCATGGAATATGCATTATCCAAAGCAATGCACTTATGTCTCAGGTTGGTAAGGCTCTGTGCAGAATCTTACCCATCCTTGGCTTACCAGCCTGTTAATTTAATAATTCTGTCGGGGGGTCCATTTTCAGGTTCAGGCCATGTACTTGGCAGCCAACATGATGATGTTGTTTGTGGGGCAGTGGGCTATGAGAAAGCCAGAAAGCTTGGTAGAAATCTTCGAAGCCCCGGAAACCTCGGCCTGGAAAGGGTCACAGGACAGGAGGTTGCTTCAGAATTCCCACGCTGATGGCCCTCTTAGCTTCCACTTCCCACAAAGAGACCCGTGACTCTTATCACGTAGGATAGCACCTCCATGCAAATAAGGCATCCTCAAACACCCAAGCCAAACCAATAGGGGCTACCTGTTCTTTCCCCGAAACTGTATATATATAATTCCAGAGCTCACATTAAACTACTACTGTTGTGTGGTGCAAGGTCTCCTGCTGTCGGAGTGTTTTCGCGTTCCCTCACCAGTCGCCAGTCGCGCACTTCAAAGGACAACGCTCTCCTCTCCCCTTAGCGGAAGAGCAAGCTGAACTAAAAGAGCTGAGACACTTTTCTTCCGTGGGCTCTCATGAGCGACTCCCGGAAAGAGAGAATTAAAAGAGCTGATAACACTTTCTCGCTTTCAGGGGCTGGGACGGAGGTCCCGCTCCGGTTTTCGGGCGACCAGAGGCCGCTGTGGAGCGAGCCCTGCCCCGTCGGCTGCTGAAGGCCCTGGGCTGGCTCCGCTGGTTCCTTCCACGCCCCCGACCCCGGAGGCCGCTTGCCCACCCCTGCTGGCCCGGCCTGGAGCTGACGCCAGCCGCCGCCGCCGCGGACCCCGGTATCCTGCAGTGGTCCCGTCAGCCCGCGATCCCTAGGCGCGAGCACTGCACCACAGTTGTTGAAGAACAGCTTTAACACAATGGGCAGGAATAAAAGTATTTCCAGGACAAAAAGAGCTAGCATGATCAAGCTATATATGCCATTTTTGAAGCTTGACCAAAATAGAAATACTGACCTCAGGCCATGGGTAATTTAATCTGTAGTATCTATTACATCAACTCAGAACAACATTCTTAAAATTTATAAGCTCCCGATGTATCGTTAAAACATCCCAAAAGGTGTTAGAATTATGCCAAATTCATTGCAAGTGTCACTAAACTCCTTCCTAATTATAATGACTACCACTGTAAATTTTAGAACTAACATGAATTCAGTGGGTATTTGGCATGATATTCAAGGTGGCTCCTTATCCTTAATTTCTGAACCTCCTTCCAGTAATTTGAATAAGATAAAGAGCATCAATCAATTCTTCCTAATGCCTATCTAAATCTGTTTGTATATTCAACACATTAGTATCATTTTTTGCTAAATGATTAACAAAAGCAGCTGTCTTAACTTCTTGTGTCACAGCAACTGCAGAAGCAATGGTGCTAGCAATTGATGTAATTAAAGCTATTATAGCAGCAATAATCCAGCCCACTACCTTCTTGCTTCTGCTTAAAGCCTGACTCATTTCTTCAGTACTTGCAAGCTATTTTTAGAATACCAATATTCTGTGATACTCAGGGCATTAAAACAAAAGCTGGTTGATAGACCTCTGTAACTGACATGCCAGAACAATGGCATGCTGATGCCAGGACAAAGAATGATGCTGACCTGTGAGCTTGCTGAGTGTCCTGACAATGGTGACTGAGAAGCTGTATTGGACATATGTTCCTGAACCACCACTGCTTACCTATACCCCTGATGGGACAAGCTTCCTTGCCTCAAGTTTTTAGACCTGGTGGAGCAGAGAATCAAAAAAGAGAAGTTATGATGACTCTTGTATTGTTCTTAAGTGTGACCAGTTATTCATACTCAACCATGGGCTGGTCCAGAAATTAATCCAATATTGGAAACAACAGTCTTCATTTGGAAGTATGGTTCTGGACATTTTCAGAGACATATATGGAAACTAGTTGCAGTTCTCTATGATGTTATGTTAGCAAGAGATAAAGTTGGGACAGGATCTGGATTTCAAACAGATGTTAGCAAATGTGTTAAGGCTCTTTTAATTGTCAAGTTAAAATTACTTTTTTTTCTTCTGCAGTATTTAATGTAAGTTGCACTGATTGTACACCTTCTAATTGCATTTTTGTTCTTAAATTGGTGTGGTTTCTATGTGCCTTTAAAACTGATCTAAGAAATCATTAGTAATGAACCAGGAACTTTATGCAGTTTAGGGTTGAAGAGTGGAGTGAGATGAATCAGGTACAGTAGTAGCTCATGGCTATAACCTCAGTCCTCAAAATTTGAGACAGAATGATTGTTGTGAGTTCAATGCAAGTCTCTGCAACATTGTGAGATACTCTATAACATGCAAAACTATCAATCTTGACTAAAAGAAATATCTCGTTTGCTGGACAGATATTGAGTTGCTTCAATCATGCTTAGGATGGTACATTTCATGAACTATACCAAGATATTATGAATTTGCTCTCCAGTTCATCCAGGGTATACTCTCCCATTTAGTAAGTTCTGAACATCTGTGCCAAACACTTCCATGAAAATTAAGTAACTGATCTCTCATAGGCCAAGAGTTCAGGTCACTATGAGCCTTAATAGCCTCCACCATTCCCTCCACCACTTTCTATGGGAAACAAAAGGCTAAGATTGATGGAACATTTTTACTCAATTTCAATAGGTACAAGGTTGTAACACTGGCTAAAGGACCATGACTTTTAGGGTCTCAAGATTTATTTACTCTAAATCAGAGGTTCACATGTGAAACCTTCCACAACAGCTGCTCTCATACTTCTTGGAAAGTTATCAACTCTACAATGAACTCAGAACTTATTTGTGAGATGTGAAAAAATGTATGTGGTAAGAAAGCACACTTGCAGTTAATCACAATGAGAATTTATAGAAACCACTATTGCTAACTAAGAAAAGGAGGTTCAGAGGGTTTCATTAGGGAGAGAACACTCTTCTTCAAAAATTTTATCTACTATTCTGAAGTTTGTATGAGTTTTTACAGCAACACACCAGCATGACAGGAACTTGGTAACACTGATGCCCAGTGTTGCTTTGAGATAAGATGTAAACTATAGTTATATTCACATGGAAACTGAGACTTGCCATCTACATAATAACATTTCCAACAGGGATTCACTCCTTATAGCTATGCCTATGAAACACTATAACAATTAGAGGTATTTGAAGCTGAGAAAAGGTGAAGTTTCTATTCAACAAATCCATGAAAGCACAGAATTTAGATTTATTTATAAAACTCCTACTTCCAGATCAAATTCCACTTTTTTCCAAGTTACTTTTGTTTTTTATTAAATGCATGTGTTCTTTAGCAATGCCATTAAATGTATATAAGGCATTCTGATTATTACATGCTTTCCCCTTTTATCTCCCTTCTATCCATATCAACTCTTATTTTATCCCTACAAACCCTATTCCCTCAACTGTGTCTTTTTGGTTTGTTATGTCATACTGATTTTAACCAAGGCTGACCATGGTTTTGAAAGTGTAGAAAATTGGTGGGCTCAGCAGTGAGTACACAACTAAAGACAATGAGTCTCTTTTGACCTGAAGTCATCATTGGCCAGTAGATCATAGCCAGAGCATCATGATGAGTCTCTACCTGACACATAATCTACTGCTGAAAGGGCCAATAGTTTGTAGTTCAAGTGAAAGTTGGATTGTACATATTTGCAATGACTGTTATTCCTGGAAGACATAATTTGGGTATCCTTTTCCCAATTCTGTAGCTCTTATACTCTTTCATAATGTACTTATGTAGGAATATCCACCACAAATCTACAGATCCATGTCATCACTTATCAGGATAGTTATTCTACTAACAGCATCTGTCTCTTGCTACTTCATATGATTCCCACAAATAGAAAGACAATTCAAACTTGTTCT